GTTGCTGGAAGCAGATTCAAATAGGCTTTACCACTGTCTATTGGGTAGCTATGAACTGTACCATTCTTACCTCACCTAGAAGCAACTGCCTTCACTGATGAACTTAGAAGGGGTTGGGGAAATAGAAATATTTTTAATTTCAAAACAAATTTGCCAAAACAATATTTTAATTTAATGTTTTCATTTTATCAGACTTTAAACTTTGTGGGGTTTTTATTTAAGATTTTTTTTTAATTTTTTAAAAGATTTTATTTATTTATTTGACAGATCACAAGTAGGCAGAGAGGCAGTCAGGGTCAGGGGTGGGGGAAGCAGGCTCCCCACCAATCAGAGAGCCCGATGTGGGGCTCAATCCCAACACCCTGAGCTCATGACCTGAGCCAAAGGCAGAGGCTTAACCTACTAAGCCTTTAGGCACCCCTAAAGATTTTATTTATTTGACAGAGAAAGAGACAGTGAAAGAGGGAACACAAAAAGGGGAGTGGGAGAGGGAGAAGCAGGCTTCCCATGGAGCAGGGATCCTGATGCAGGACTTGATCCCACAACCCTGGAATCATGACCTGAGCCAAAGGCAGATGCTTAACAACTGAGCCACGCAGGCACCCTAAACTTTTTCATCAAAACTTTGGAGCTAAGGTTTTACCTCATTTGATTCATTGCAAATAAAAAGGCTTCCAGCTAACCACTTTGGCAGTCAGTCGTCAATGTCAAAACAATTAGAAAATCAGACTTTGTGTCAAAAAAGGAAGTGTGGTTCCTTTTGCAATGCTGCTGAGCACGCTAGGAATGAGCATAGATCCCATAATACCTCTCTGGCTTCTGCATTCTAGCTCTACAGAGAGAGGTGAGTAAAGTGATGAGGGCCAGGAGTTGGCCATAAGGTGGTCTAGCTCCAGCATTTCTCCCAGACACCCTCTTTGCCAGGATCTTGGGAACTTTCCCCAGGAGAAATGCTTATCCACAGCTAAGGGTATGGATGCAAAATGAAAACTATCTGGGTGTTTCCCTTTGATTATTGCCCCATAGAGTTTTGACCCCCCCTGGGCATTGCACCACAGTAACCTACAGGACTGCCTGTCTGCCTTTTTGTTTTAGAGCAAGAAAAGAGAGATTATGAAAGGGGAGGCAGGGAAAGCGAATCAGCACAAAGACTAGACACAGACATTTGCTCCTGGGCAGATCTGTCTTAGAAAAGAGAACCAATGGGAGCTGAAGATCTGGGAATGAGCCCCTAAAAATAACATGTATCCCCAAAGACAGCCAGCCTCCTTGTCCCCCCAGGGTGTGAATCCTCTGGTTGGAGAACCACTGAACTGTGGAATATTCACAATCCTACTACACAGCATTTAAAATAAAAAACTAAATCTCTATGTATCAACACAACTCAAGGACATATGGTATGACAATGTTTCTATACATTGAAACATTTTCCAGAAAAAGTGGGAGTGGCACAGGTGGGTGGAATTGACAGGTATTTGCATGGAGATAAAGCAAGGCCCTGTTTAACTCTAGAGCTCAAAGAAAGGCCTTTCTAGCCCCAGACAAGCTAACCCCTTCCAAGGGGACAGTATCTTCTCCACAGTTCAGGATTGGCAAGAGGAGGCAGCAGGCCATTGATTCCAAGTCGCCCCTGCAGTCAGTGTCTTATGAGCCATGGTACCGAGCCCTGATGAATTTCTTACCAATGCCCAGTCCAGTTAATGTGCTTCGAATGCCTTCAATTCATGTAAATTAAAATTACTTTATTTCCATGTTTTAAGAACAAACACCTTTGAGAGAAACAAAGACTTACTTAAATTTGGCACAGATATGGTGACTCTCTTACCTTATCTCTCTCTGGATGCTTTTAAAAATAAGGGACTTGCTTGACCGCGTGCAAGTCATTGCTGTTGTTCCCATAATGCCTTCATGCCATCCCACGTGAGTGCAGCAGCTTGGGGTACAGGAGCTCACCTGGCAGTGACGAGTGGGCCCCGCCCAGCCCTCTGCATACCTGGCCCTACTGCAAGCAAGCATCCCCAGAATTCTCGCAAATTGCATCTGCTCTCCCACCTGCTGCAAGGCGGAAGTCGTTGTGGTTGCATTGAGAATCCACCACATTCTGTAAAAAATATCACTGGGGTCACAAAGCCTCCTTGGTAGGTTTCACATGTTGCCTTGGCATACCCCCCACCCTCTGTCATGCTCTGTACAAAGGGGCTGCCACCCCCATGGTTGACACTTTTCTTAGCTGCAAGGCTGGAAGGCCTCCAAGCCAGCTGCAGCTCTCTTTCAGGTGACCAAGATGGCCGGCCTGGACTTGACTGTTTCCTTGTCACGTTCAGTCATGTGGGTTAAGGGACAGCCCTGTGTCTACACAGCCAGGGACACATCGTACATGTGTACATCTACATGCCAGGGATGCACTGCTGTAAGTCACAGTCATAACCATCATTACAAAGTGTTTTCCTTCCCCAGTCTCCCTCATCTTCCATCTGAAAATCTAACATGTAGTGAGCAAGTCCCCAATGCTGTACACATATTGTATCTACTGCAGCCCACTTAAATGTCCATTAACAGGAAAACTAAATTCTGGAACACCCATAGAGATTGCACCCATTGAGAAGAATGAGATAGATTTACATGTGCTGATAGGAAGAGCTTTCCTTCTTCTACTATTAGCTAAGAAAGGGAGGTTGCAAAAAATGCAGGCGTCATACAACCTCGTGTCAGTTGATTGAGCAACCGACTCTTGCTCTCAGTTCACATCATGATCTCAGGGTTGTGAGATGGAGCCCTGCCTCAGGCTCCGCACTCAGCAGGGAGTCTGCTGGAGATTCCTGGCATAGTCACAGTGGAAAACAGTATGAAGGTGCCTCAAAAAGTTAAAAATAGAATTATCCTATGTTCCAGTAATCAAACTATTGAGTTGAGTATTTACCAAAAAAATTACAAAAAGAGAGGCACCTGGGTGGTTCAGTCAGTTGAGCCTCTGACTCTTGATTTCCAGCTCAGGTGATGGTCTTGGGGTCCTGGGATCGAGCCCCATGTTGGGCTTCAGGCTCAGTGGGGAGTCTGCTTGGGATTCTGTCTCTCCTTTTCCTTCAGACCCTCCCCCCAGTCATGCTTTCTTTCTCTCTAAAATAAATAAGCAAAATCTTTATAAAAAATAAAAAAACACTGGGGCACCTGGGTGGCTCAGCGGGTTAAAGCTTCTGCCTTCGGCTCAGGTCGTGATCCCAGGGTCATGGGATTGCACCCCACATTGGGCTCTCTGCTCAGCGGGGAGCCTGCTTCCCTTCCTCTCTCTCTCTGCCTGCCTTTCTGCCTACCTGTGATCTCTGTCTGTCAAATAAGTAAATAAATCTTTTTAAAAAATACAAAACCACTAATTCAAAGGGATACATGCACTCCTATGTTTATAGCAACTTTATTAACAATAGCCAAATTATGGAAGCAGCCCAATGTCCGTCGATAGATGAATGGAAAAAGAAGATGTGGTACATTTATACATGGATTATTATTCAATCACAAAAAGGAACGAAATCTTACCATTTGCAATGACATGGATGGAGCTAGAGAGTATAATGCTGAGGGAAATAAATCAGAGAAAGACAAATACCATATGATTTCACTCATATGTGGAATTTAAGAAACAAAACAAATAAGCAAAGGAAAAAGAGAGAGGAAGAGAGAGAGAGAGAGAAACCAAGAAACAGACTCCTTTATAGAGAATACATTAGTGGTTACTGGAGGGGAGGTGGGTGAGGGTAATGGACAAAATAGGGGATGGGGATGAAGGATGTGATGAACACTGGATGATGGATGGAAGGGCTGAACTGTGCACTGAAAATTAATATAACACTATATGTTAACTACACTGGAACTAAAATAAAATATGTTAAATGTTCCACCTAGGGGTAAGTACCTCAGATGATTTGAGAAGACTGGGGAGCACACATTAAAATCAAAGTAATAGTAGTAATTTTTTTAAAGTCCATCCACCACTTAAGTTCTACCAACACAGCTCAGCCCAAGTTATGTTATGACAGGGGTGTCTGCAACACAGTCCTCACCAGGCAAAATCCATGGGTGGGGCAGACACATGGAACAGATAATGCCACGTGGCTTGACTCTAGACTCAGGTAGCAACAGTGTGAGGTGTATTTGTTCTGGGATTCAAAGCGGAAAGGCTAGGGCACCCTGAAGTAATGAGAGGCGGGTATCCACTGGGACTGGAAGGCTTCAGTATAGCAACCGGCAAGAAGGAAGGGGATATGATGCTCCAGAGCCTGAGAGAGAAGAGTGAAGAATGCTCCCAGGCATTCACCCAGGCTTCACACAGGTCCCCGGCCAGTGCCTAAAGCCAAGGATAAAGAGGAATGAGGTCCGTGTTCTACAGCACAGAAGCTGGCCGCCAGGCTTAAATAGAACAGAATTTCAGGCAAAGGGAACAGCAAGGACAGGAGCTCAGAGTTTAGACAGCTTCAAGTTCAGTGAGAATGTAGGGCCAGGGGCCTGGGCGGAGGCTAGGAGGAGCTAGCACCCAAAAGCTCTGAGCCAAGCCCTGTTTCAGCTTCCATCCTGTCTTGCAAGTCATAGAAGTCTGCAAAAGTGACACTGTCAGATCCCCTTTAGGAGAATAATGATCATGGCAGGGTGGCTGAAGGTGTGGCCAAGAAAGGGACTCACGTGAAGGCTGTTGCAGCAGCCCCAAGAAAAAATCTTGACGCTGTAGGGTGATGTGTGGCAGTGGGGAGGACTGGGTGTGGTCGCCAGAGGACCTTCAGTCCCACACAAGGCAGGTGGCTGCTGCCCCATGGTCTTCTCCTTCCTGCTGAGCACCCAGATTACCCTGCGGAGTGGTGTGCAAGTCACCAACGCTTCTCCCTCCTCAGCCCTCAGCGCCCGTATTGCTAGAGCCATTATGAGTGACAACAAAGGAAGTGGACACTCTGCTTTCCTGCTTACTCTCACCTTCTTCACCTCTTGTAAACTCTCCTTACCCTATGTCTCTGCAGCCCCCACAGGAGAGCCTATTCCAAAGGTCATTTGCGAGCCTCTGTCTTCATCCTCAAGCCCGCAGTTTTAACCGTCCCCAGCTGCCCTGCAAGCCCGCTTCGACGGCCCAGGCCCAGATCATGGACCCCAGCCTGCTCCCTGGGCTGGAAGGTGGTAACTGCGAAAAAGAGGGCGACTCTCCCCTGCGGGGCTTCGGATGACATCACATCCTCCGAACTCAAAATCTGGCTCCTCTGCTGGCCGAAGGGCGCGACTTCCCCTCCTCCTCGTCCCACCCGCACCAGCGCGCGTCGGCACGCGTCGCGCAGCGCAGAGCGCGCCATGGCCTCCTGGGTGACCCCCCTGCTCCTGCCGCTGGCCCTGCTGCTCCGTGAGTTAGCGACCCTCGGGGAGGGCGTGGGACGGGGCAGACGAGGAGCGCGGGGTTCCCAGCTCAGCCTCGATGCCTGCCGCCCGCAGATGCCGCCGTGGCCGCGGGGCGGAGCGGGTTCCGCATGTCGCCGGCGAAGGTGGTCGGACAGCCGGGAGGGAAGGTGGAGCTGCAGTGCGAAGTGCTGCTGTCCCCTGCGGCGCCGGGCTGTTCCTGGCTCTTCCAGAAGAACGAACCTGCCGCCCGCCCCGTCTTCCTCATGTACATCTCCCAAACCCGGAGCAAGGCGGCCGACGGACTGGACCCCAAACAGATTTCGGGCAAGAAGATCGCTGAGACCCACTACAGCCTCACCCTGCACCGCTTCCGCGAGGAGGACGAAGGCTACTATTTCTGCTCTGTCCTGAGCAACTCCGTGCTGTACTTCAGCTCCTTCGTGCCGGTCTTCCTGCCAGGTCCGAGCGCCCGGGGCGCGGCACCTCTCGGTGTGGGGTTTAGGGCTCACCTATGAACCCGTTGTTTTGTTTTGTTTTGTTTTTCATACGGAGCCCCGCTTTTGAGCCTCTTAGCGTCCTTGTGGGCGTGGGGGCTACTTAATACTGCTTCCATTTCACAGACAAGGGAACTGAGGCAAAGGTGCGGCTGGGTCGGGGCTGAAGATGGCTTCTTAGGTCCCGCGGATCTGGGCTCGAGTTCGGGTACTTGTTTGCCGCTGGACAGTTCCTTAAATTCTGTGAGCCTGCGTTTGGCTACCAACCCAAGCCCTCAAGCCAGCAGGTTGAGCCCTGAAGAGAGGCTGGGAGACCGGGAGAGGGCTGCTGCGTTCCTGTCCGAGGCGCCAGGTGCGCTCGGCCCCGCCCGGGACGCAGCAGGCTACCGCGCGCGCCGAGAAGGGGAGAGTGCAAATCCTGGAGGTCCCCAATCCATCTCCTCTCTCTTGAGTGCAGAGGTCGGCGCGGGCGAAGGAGGCGCCGCGTCGGGCAAAGGCGCGCGAAGCCGTGCGGAAGGTTAGTGTCGATGTCCCCTGTCCGACGCCAACCACGCTCTGTTTCTCCCGCAGTCAAGCCTACCCCTACGCCCGCGCCGCGACCACCCACGAGGGCGCCCACCAACAGGTCGCAGCCGGTGTCTCAGCGCCCCGGGATCTGCCGGCCGACGGCGGGCAAGCCAGGTGAGACCCGCGCAGGGGTCCCGGGACCGGGACCCGCCAGGGGCGGTGCGGGCAGGGGGCGCGGGGGTGGGGGAGAGCCCCCGCCAGGCTCAGCCCTGATCGTGGAGATAGAGCCAAAACCTGTCCAAGTGGTGGGGAAACCGAGACCGGACCCCAGGGACAGGCCCGACCTGGTGGTGTGGGTTAGAGAATCCCGGCCAGTTCCTAAACGCCGGCGTCTTCGGTGTCTTCAGTGGAAAAAGGTGTGCTTGCCTTTGCCTGTGAAATCTACATCTGGGCTCCGCTGGCTGGGACCTGCGCGGTCCTTCTACTGTCACTGGTCATCACCGTCATCTGCAACCATAGTAAGTTCTAGGGCCGCTCGGAGTGGCAGGGGAAGGGGGGGGAGGTTTGCTCTACTTCCCCCTCCTGCGCGGCTTGCTCCAGGCAGCTTGCCCGGAGGTAGGTTGGAGGTTTCTGGACCCTGAGCTGTACTGTAGGGTCAGGCACAGCCCATTTCTTTCCTGGAGACAGAACTCGTGAAACCCCTTCCCACTCCTCTTTCCACTCTCTGGGACGTTCTTAGGGAGACAGAGCCCTTATTCCAGGATGGGCAGGAGCATTGTGTTCCATTGGCAGCGGAGAAGGCAGTAGAGAGTGCAGTTTCTGGCTTATTACAACCCCCCCACCCCCGTACCCGCCCCTCGCAGAGAGTGTGCCCCTGTGGCCCTCGGACTAGTGCTCAGGAAGACTGGATCAAAACCATGACTTGTTGAGATTTACCATCGGCCACCTCCCGGTGAACCCCCTACTACTTTGGGTCCCACTGTAGGTGACTGTACTAACCCATCTTAGCCCACATGTGTATTTGCAATGCTTTTAAAATTGATGAGAAGAGGGATGGAAAAGCAGCTCTTACTTGGTTTTCAAGAGTTATAGTTCTAAAGAAATAGGAAAAGGGAAGGAGGAAATAAATCTATTTGGAGACTATTGGTGGTGGGGAGGCAGTCATTTTACTTCTTCTTTTTCTTATCCAGGGAACAGAAGACGGGTTTGCAAATGTCCCAGGTGAGTCTTATAACCCCTAGGGCTGCTAACACTGGCCAGCCCTCTGCACAGGTCCTAGCTTCCCAAGCAGCCTTTGGTGGGAACCTTTCCCAGAGAGAGGCCATGGAGAATCCTGGGGGCAGGGAGTCAGCACAGTTTTTGAGCAAAGAGCGGCACAAGGCTGGCAAGGTGAGGAAATGGGAGGCACGGTTTGGGCTCATGGGGAGAGCAGTATGACTTCTGTAAGTCTCCATTTTCTCTGACCTGGCTCCAAAAATCCCAAATAGGATTCCCCCTATTAGTCCTAGTTCTCCACAGCCTTGAGGTCTCTTTACCTGGATGATTCCAATTGAGTTTTATTGTTTTCTTAAGAAAACTTTTTTTTTCTATTGTTTGTTCTAGATTTTTGAGTGATTAGTGTTTTTAAGAGCCAGTATTTCATTAGAGAACCAAATAAGCAATGGCCTAGGCTCCTAATTTCCCTGTGTCAGTGTAGTGCCTTGATTTACCACCAAGGACTAGAAGGGAAACAGAGGCAGGAGCAGTTAGCTATCTGACAGCCCAAGTGACTCCCCGATCCAATTCCAACCCGTGATCATTCTGAGATGATCAGGAAAAAAAACAAACAAAAACAAAGACCAGTGCGTGGAAGAGAAGTCTCAATCTTTTTTGTCCTTTGAACTTAGGCTGAGGCAGTCTGTGCTAACATCTAATTGACCCCACTCTGGCCCTGCACCATGATGGGGGTTACACGCAGGTTCTCTCTTCTCCAGGAATCCCATGTGATAGATGCCACAGTCCCATCTCACAGCTGAGCAGCTCAGATCAGGAAATCTACCCAAACCTGCAGAGACATGATGACTCTCAGATTATCAAAATAATACTACATTTAATAAAAGCCTACAGAGTACCAGTTCCTTGTTTTACATATATTTTTATTATTTATTTATTTAAATGTTTTATTTATTCGACAGAGATTGCAAGTAGGCAGAGAGGCAGGCAGAGAGAGAGAGAGGGGGGGAGAAGCACGTTCCCTGCTGAGCCGAGAGCCCAATGTGGGGCTTGATCCCAGGACCCTGAGATCATGACCCAAGCCAAAGGCAGAGGCTTTAACCCACTGAGCCACCCAGGCACCCCTATATATGTCTTTTTAAATATCAAGTTTCATAACAATCTTTCAAGTAGTTGCCATGACCACCACTTTTTCAGATGAGGAAAATGGCAGTTAGGACATTTAATGACTCGTCTAAGGCCACACTGATGCCAAATAGCAGAGCTCAGACTTCTTTATCCAAGCTCAGGCTCCTTCCTGCGTGGGGGATGGGGATGTTTAAGGATATTCAGTTCCTTTCAGTGGATGAAAATACTTCAAATTTTATACCTAGGGTTTGCATTTCCCACTCCTTGGTATCTCTCTGCAGGAAGCCAATTCCAATATCTCATACAATGTTATTTTTAAAAATATGTGTCAGTATTTTTAATGGAAATGTAATGAATATATTGTAATGAATTGTAATAATGTATTCTAATGCCTGTATTATGAATGGTATAACAAGGGGGACAAAGACCCTTTAAAAACAAAGATTTTTAGCATTTGCAAGTACTTGGGGTGCAGTTGGGAGCTTTGGCAGGAGAATCACCCCTTATCTTTAAGTTCTCTGAAAATTCTCATTTTGAAATGAACCGAGAACAAAACCCTGCCCTTGGAATACAAAGCTACGCAGAGTGAACATATCCGAGGGACCCACGTGCCTGCGTTCACACACTCAGGGATGACTGAGGGCAGCTCAGCTTCTGGAGAGGTTTGGAGGACGGTGTGCGTAGACCTGACATTCATGATGAATCAGCCCATTCAGGAGGTGTTAGCCCAGTCCTGAATTAACACACATTTTTAGTGGGATATCAAATTTGAGTCGTCTGTGTGCGATAAAGTAGCTCTGCTTGGCTGATGGTGGTCATTTCCTCACATCCTCCCGGGGGACTGAGAATCAGCTCAACTGGTAACTTCGGTCATCAGCCTCCCTCTCTCACCTCCACGGGCACCTGACAAAGGCTCCCGGAAGCCAGACTAACTGGGCTCCGATCCTGGCTCCATCACCTCCTAGTTATGTTAGAACTTGGGCAAGTTCTCTCATCTATTTCCCAGTGGCCTTCCCTCAGGTTGCTGTGACAGCAAGATGGCAAACGTGAAGCACTTGACACTTTCTGACGTCATTCACTCAGTCCCAAGATGGTATTCCAGGGACAAGTTCGCAGACCCTGCAAGGGCTGGGAGGCTGGGGCGGGCAGGACAGATGTGGATGGAGGCAGTTAGCACACTGTGGGGGCTCTTGCTGCAATCACGGTTTACCGTCTGCCTCTTTCAGGCCAATGCCCAGACCAGGAGGCAAGCCCAGCCCTTCAGAGAAATACGTCTAACATGGAGATGGGCCCTGTGCGACAGCCACTACAAGACCGAACAGAATTCTATGAGAACAGCAACAGTCCTTCCATCCTTATATATCCATTCTCATTATTATTTTTGTGGGGGTGGGGTGGGAAGGGTGACTTCTTCATGTGTTTTCCTTAGTTGACACAAAACAAGACTGTACGTCTACAGTACACCACAAGGGCTCTGATACCATTGTGTGCTCGCACTGGGGTGAAGGGTGGGCAGGCCAGAGCTACCACAAGCCGTGTTCTCAGAATCTGGTGGTTTGAGCTGGGTGGGTTGGGGGGATTTTCTCAGCATGACACGGTCCAAATCCTTTTCGTTGACATTCAGGGATGGGGAGGAGCTTGAGCAGAGTCACAGCATGTCTCAGGGCTCTTTCTCCAGCCATTCAGGTCTTTCTTCTGGAGGTTTCTGTCTCAGTGTGGGGGTGCTGTGTCTCAAACCCTAGGAGCACAGGTGATTTCTTGAGCAGCAGCCCTAGGCCCATGACTGCACCCACAGCCCTAAGAGGGTTCTAGGAGAACTTCTGCCTTTCACAGAGTTCTCTAAGGTGGTTGAATCCTATCAGACTTTTTTTTTTTATAACGACATGTGGAACTCCATGGAGTGGGAAATCCTCAACTAAAGTGGAAGGGGTAAGCTGAATCCTGGAAAATGAGAAACTCCACCTCTAAAGACAATCTGTGGGAACTCCCCCAGTGGAGGCCGAATGGCTCTCCCAGCCCCCCGCAGTGCAGAGGGGCCCATGAAAGAGGAGAAACCACCCTATGACAAGTATGATCTGAGCATCAGCACAGTGGAACGGCGGGCCTCTTGAGCCTCTGAACTTGAGACACCGTATCCGCTCGTGCTCCTGGAACATCATGACTTCTGATGGTGCAGAATGGTTACAGAGCTGCCAGCACCGGCCCTGGCCTCCCCTCAACCGGCAGATGAGGGACTGGGATGGAAGACACTCTGGTGAGGAGGCGGACAGCCAAACCGGCTGCCCTCCACACGCGTGTTTCCTCTCGTCCGAGTTGAACAAGAAAAAACTCAAATGAGGAAGTAAGAATCACCCATAATTCTTTACTTCAGGTGTAATCCATTGTTAATAGCGTGGTGTACATTCTTCCTGATGATTTTCTGTGCATATATGTGAAGTATATACTTCTGACTTTTAAAAAATGCAATTGCTCTGCTTTTTATAAATGGCTTTAATAAAAAAACATTGATGGCATCGGTTTTGTTTTTGTGGGTTGTTTTTTTTAATAAACATATAGTGTATTGTTAGCCACAGGGGTACAGGTCTGTGAATCGCCAGGTTTACACACTTCACAGCACTCACCATAGCACACACCCTCCCCAATGTCCATAACCCCACCACCCTCTCCCTACCTCCCTACCCCTGGCAACCCTCAGTTTGTTTTGTGAGATTAAGAGTCTCTTATGGTTTGTCTCCTTCCGGATCCCATCTTGTTTCATTTATTCTTTCCTACTCCCCAAACCATCCACGTTGCATCTCCACTTCCTCATATCAGGGAGATCATATGATAGTTGTCTTTCTCCGATTGACTTATTTCGCTAAGCATGATACCCTCTAGTTCCATCCACGTCGCCGCAAATGGCAAGATTTCATTTCTCTTGATGGCTGCATAGTATTCCATTGTGTATATATACCACATCTTTACCCATTCATCTGTTGATGGACATCTAGGTTCTTTCCATAGTTTGGCTATTGTGGACATTGCTACTATAAACATTCGGGTGCACGTGCCCCTTCGGATCACTACATTTGTATCTTTAGGGTAAATACCCAGTAGTGCAATTGCTGGGTCGTAGGGTAGCTCTATTTTCAACTTTTTGAGGAACCTCCATGCTGTTTTCCAAAGTGGCTGTACCAGCTTGCATTCCCACCAACAGTGGAGGAGGATTCCCCTTTCTCCACATCCTCGCCAGCATCTGTCATTTCCTGACTTGTTAATTTTAGGATGGCATCGTTTTTAATGACAAAATAGCATGCCATTTTTTAGTGTGCCAACTTTTATTTATTACTCAGCATTTAATTTTCCAGTTTCCAGTGTTTCACTACTCTAATACCACTGCCAAAACTTTGGCACGTGTGTTTGTGTCTTTAGGATAAAACCCTAAATGTAAAATTATTAGGTCAGTCACTACTTTCACTGTGGACTCCCCATTTTCCCATCAGCTAGAACTGGTTAGCCTCTCCTGACATCACCTTGTCTTTTGTTCTTTCGTGGTAACGGATAAGCTGATACTTCTCTCGTAATAAATCACAAAATCTTCACCCTTGTTGAGGTAAAATATACATACTGAAAAGTCCCCAAATCCTAAGTGTACAGCAGCTCCAAGACATCATCAAGCGAACACACTCACATAGCCAGCACCAGGTCAAGAGGGAACTTTCCCTGCCCTGAAACTGCCTTTTGCAACCTTAACTTTTAAAAAACAAGACACTTTTAAAGAACAGAAGTTAAGAGGAAAAAGTGCCTCAAGTGCGAAAAATCAGAAGTGAAAGCTAAGAAAGTTCCCATGAGACAAAGTCTTGCCCTTGTCCCCTTCCTCCCCAAACCAATCCAGCGACAGAACCAGGAGCCACTGCAGGGACTGAGACCCAGTTTAGAGCAGGCTCCAGGGCTCTGAGGCTGCCTGTCCCTGGGTTCCCTGGGAGGGGGGACAAGGAACATCTTGCTTCCTTATGCGAGACACTTGAGAGGATGGCCGTGGAAGGCCAATCTTAAAGAACCCAGGCTAGCATGAAAAGAGGAAAAGAGCTTTTCCTCTTTAACTTGCAACACAGCTAATGAGTGGCTGGGAAGCCACCCTGGGGAGGCTCGGAAAGGGTTGAATACTTACTGATTTTCTCATACCCCCAAAGAAGTTTCACTTGCCATAACTAAAAAGGTAAACACTATTTTGGAGATTAAAAATATCAAGATGGTGGGGGGTGCCTGGGTGGCTCAGTCGGTTGGGTGTCCGACTCTTGATCTCAGCTCAGGGTCGTGAGTTCAAGCCCTGTGCTGGGCTCCATGCTGACATGGAGGCTACTTAAAAAAAACAAAACAAAAAACAACAACAACATAGAGAAAGGAATTCATCAGAGTTGGCCCTCAGATCCAGGGAGAAAACAGAAAAACAAGCTGCAGGCTGAGGCTGAAAACATGAAAGGTGGCTGTGAATTTAGGCTCAGGGCTTGCCGGTGACCACAAACATCCAACTGTTCATTCTGCACACGCGGAAAGAGCACCTGACAGTTCAAAGCTGGCAGACACAAGTCCAAGTCATATTTCACTTGCCGGCTTCTAGCCCGAGCACTGACTCTACAAATTTCCCCATGGGCAAGATGCCCATGATACATTTTTTGGACCCTGAGAAACAGGAAGTAGAGAAATGACTTCTCTATCATGCAGTTAGCTTGGTGGTTCAGTGAATAAATATTCATTCATTCAACAAAAAACATATTCCCTTTGCGGAAGAAAGAAACCGGAGAACATTGTCATTTGTTTCTCTGGTTGCGACACTGCCCTTCGGAGAACCCATGCCACACTTGAACATCCCCCATGACTCTTCAACCAGTGGCACGGGGAGAAGTCTCTCTTTTCCACCAGCAAGAAGCCGCCCCTCCGTCCAGCCCAGGGCTATGTGTAAATACCTCCCACATCCCCCCACCATCGCCACCCTAATATTGTGACCACCAGGGGCAGGCAACACTTATTCTGCTTCTAAAGGCAGGCTTGAGCTATGTTTCTCCACCAAAGGAACTGACGGAGGCCACAAATGCCTACGATTAGGTTGAATGCAGAGTTCTGAAAGCAGCTTCCTGGCCCTGTATTCTCTAGCAAGTGACTTCACGTCTCAAAACCTTGGTTTCCCCACTTGTAACATGGGGTAAATGATAATCCCAACCTCAAAGGGTTGTTGGGAAGAATATATGAGTTTATATGTCTTTTTAAGTGCCTAGAAGAGCTCCTGGAACACAGTAACCAAATGTATACTGAAAACAACGTACTGCATTTTTCAAAACCAGCATAGAACCCATTACACTCAGAATGCAGCCAATTCTGTCTGATTCCCCCAATTTCTATTCTCAGAAAGGGTAACCATTTCTGACAGAAACACATTATGCATACACCCAGGGATCTCGGCCTCCCAGTGCTAAGAAAGACAACCCTTCACACCCATCTCACCTTGAGAGAGCTCAGTCCCAGATACACACAGCCTTGGCTCTGTCACTGAAGCTCCCGTCAGCCTCACATGCTGAGGGCCAGCCCCCCAGGTCCCTCCCTGCCCTCCTGCAAGAGATCTCTACCATCCTCAGAGCGGCCGGATAAGGCTTGCAGAATAGAAGCATAAGCTCTACTATCTGTCCTCTCAGCACCTCCTGAGGTCCCCATCCCTTTGGACAACCTCCCTTCTGCATGTCAGTTTCTAACCCCCCTCTTCCGCTCTCCCTTAGATGGTTGTGATCTGTAGGTGTCATTTGTTCTTATGTTTTAGTGACTTAAATAAAATACCAGGTACCAGTTATTTAGCACTCATCATGGGCCCGGCACCTCATGTGGGCTTCAGCAGAACCCTGAAGTAGGAACGATTACCATTCTTCTTTACAGATGAGAAAACTAAGGCATCGGAAACTCTGAATGTTTGCCCAAGATCACTCTAGAGCCTGGTGATGCGATCAAGATTGGAGCTCTTGATCAAGATTGGAGCTCTAGCCCAAATGCCTAGCCGCTCTGCTCTTTAACCGAAGCACAGCGGACACACAACGGGACACACAACGGTACAACATAGGGATTTGACAACGTTGTGCGTTACGCTGCACCGCCACAACTGTAAGCACCCAAAACCAGTTTTTACACCTATGCAGCCCAAGGTACAAAACAAAAGTCACCATCTGCTGTGAAATCAAACAAATGGGATCCTGTCTGAAGTCAGGGTGAGGGCCCTGCTTCTAACGCGAACACCACGAGGGGCCAAGAAATGCAGCTCAAGGAGGTGGTTCCATGACTGTTACCTCCTCATTTGCATCATGTCTCAGGGAGGTGGAAGGCTGCACCAATGGCGATGCCAGTGGCTTAATTCCTTTACGTGAGCGAAATTTCATCTGTCTCCTGGCTCCAAGGCACTGGCAAGCATGGTAGAGACTGCAGGTTGTTTTTCCAACTGTTCTCCCATTCTTCCTTACCAGCAGAACCCTCACAGTACTACAGGTGGCACTGTGCCCAGACATTTTCCAGACTTCCCTGCCGCCAAGTGTGGCTAGTAAGTCATTGGATGGAGCTTCCGGGAAAGACTGTTCAAAAGAGCTAACTCAATGGGAAGCTGCTTCTTTCCCCACTCCCTTCCTCCTCCTCCCCGCTGCCTGGATCATGGTTACAACTAACAAAGAGGTGCAACAGGCCACATGTGAAGGCTGTGCAAACAGACAGGAGCCCGGGCCCCTGACAGCACGAAGCCACCCTACAAACCCTGGACTGCCTAGCCCTCACAGGCGGCTGACTGCTATCCACTAGTAAAGTCAAAGGCCATCCGCCCAGATATCCTGATCTCCTTCTCAAAGCTTGCAGGATAATTTAATAAATTCCTGTGAAATTCCTCTTTAGGGCTGATTAGCTCACTGATCTAAAACAACTAAAAGCAGCATGGTCTTAAAAATGAACAGAAACCTGAAATGTGTTTCTAGCCTGTTCAGAAGGGGAGAAAGCTCCCGAAATGATTAGTCCTGAACACTGACAAATAACAGGCTTCCTTTTGAAGAACACTTTTTAGAGGGGAAAAAACATCAAAGCCCTTTACTTGCACAGCAGCCCTTGCACAGTGGCTGAATGCAGTCCTCAAATGGAGTTAAAAAGACCCCTCCTGACTAGAAATTGGCAGAAAATCACACAACCCACATGGTATAGAAATCAACGGGAGGAGAGTGTGAGGTTAGAAATTCACCCTTCTGGGGGCACCGGGGTGGCTCAGTCGGTTAAGCGTCTGCCTCCAGCTCAGGTCATGACCCCAGGGTCCTGGGATAGAGCCTGCATTGGGCTCCCTGCTCAGTGCTGGGTCTGCCTCTCCCCCACCACTTGTGTTCTTGTGCACGCATGTTCTCAAATAAAATCTTTAAAAAAAAAAAAAAAAGGAAAAAAAAAGTCACCGTTCTAGAAAATGGAGACAACAGAAGACTTGGGAATATATTTTAGAACATCAGATCAAGGAAGCTCATCACTCGAGACCCCACCCTATTCCTTCTCTGAATTGCAGAAGGGTTCAGAGCACTGACATTTTATGATAAAAACTTCTCTTGCTAGATTTCCATTGTATTTCTCACTCCTACATTATCTTGGTCCTTACTGAGTAGAGACCAAGTCTGTCTTGTTCAGAATACTGTTCAGGACCTATGATATTCAACATTCACTTTACCTACTGTCTTGGCCTCCTCTGCTCTAACCTCATCCCCTCCCCAACCACATCTGCTACTATAGCAAGAGTGGACCTTAAAAATACCCAACTTATTCTTATCTCCCTTCTCTTCCCTCCCATCATCCTCTGGTAGTTAGGATACCAACGGAAACTAACCTCACTACAAGGGCCTTGGTGCTTGTGCTCCACTTTTCTCTATCTATCAGCAATTCCTAAGCTCCAGGATACCAAGTACCTTGTTCTCTCTCAGTGCCTGGCACTTAAAAACAACAACAACAACAAAAAATCCCACGTTGAATGACTAAAGGTGCCATACCATGGTATGTTAAATGTTTTCTGCATTTAACATACACACATCTGAGCTATTAAATGAAAGGATTCTAAGCAGTATTTAGCACGAGCACCTTGACTTTCCCAAGGAAACTCAAAATGCTGACGCACAGGAGCTCTTGCTTAGACAATACTTAATGTTTAGGTATATTTGTTAGTATAGGGGACTCATAGGAGTGTAAGAAACTCTCCACCATAAGGTTTTTTTGGGAAGTATTTTTTTTAAAAGAATGAATAAAATACTTTCTATCAAACATATCTTGACAGAGACTTCAAAGTAGCTTTGTAAATGGATTTACCATTGTCCCCTAATGCAAAGTTTTTTAATTTCATTCATTGATATTTTATTTCTTATAATACTTTGTCAGAGAGAGAGAGAGCACAAACAGGGGGCGTGACAGGCAGTGGAAGAAGCAGGCTTCCCGCTGAGCAAGAAGCCTGCTGTGGGACTCCATCCCAGCACCCTGGGATCATGACCTGAGCCTAAGGCAGATGCTTAACAGACTGAGCCACCCGGGTGTCCCAATGCAAGGTTTTTTTAAACTGTGGCTCTCGACTCATTAGCAGGTCATAAAATTAGAGTCTTGATGAACATTAATAAATTGAAAACATTAGTGTTATGACACATTAGAAGCATTCATTTTGTAAAATGTGCTTCAGAACTATAAACTTCGTGTAAACGGTTATGAGAGTTTCTTACTGGTTGCCAGAAAACAAAGACAGGTAGGTCCTCTGTGAAGTGACCTTTCTGTCCACTAGGATACTATCACCAAAGCCTCTACCACGGGTGGCTACTGTTCGGTCTAAATGTGCATTTGCAGTCTTTATCTTGCCATTACAAAAATTCATTATTTTATATCCTTGGTGATCGTCCTTGCCCATTTTGGTGGGGAGGGGATGGGAAACGAATTTTGCCATGCTGCAAATACAGCACCCCTTCAAACGCCTGGATGCCTAAAGAAATGCACTGGTGTTAAAAATCACAGTCCTAAAACAGAGTTCAAAGCACACTAAATTTAACTTTTCTTTATGACTCAGGACTTAGTCATCAAGGGTAAATTTTGTTCAGTAGATGTGATCCTCACCTGTCCCTGAAGAGGGAGGATACTTCACAAAATCCAAGAGGCCCCTTGTAAGGGAAGCCAGTTTTCTCACAAGCATGCAGATTCGGATTCAGCAGATCTGGGCTGAGGCCCGAGGTTCTGCATTTCTCGCAAGCTCTCGGGTGATGCTGCTGCTGCTGCTAGAGATCACACTTTTGAGTCCTAGAGAGTCCCAAATGCTGCAGGGATAGCTGGTGAGGTCTTTGGCCAGGCCGGCCAGGCCTCACATCTACCACTGGAGCCACTGGCGCCAAATGCAACTGGGTGGTTCCCACGCTTGTTCCCAAGTAGGAAACACTCTAAAATGTCAGATAAGAATGAGTCTAAAAATATATATAGAAAAGCAGCACAAACAGATCCTGGGTCTCCACCACGTTAGCTTGTCACTAAACGGATCGACAACTCAGTCTGGCGTTCTCCCAGCCAATGCCGAACACAGGTGTCCCACTCCACCAGCAGCCCAAGGACAGTGGCCCCAGGTCTCCTCTTCCCAGTCATACACTGGCACCCCAGCCCGAGGGTCCCAGCCAGCCAGAGGATGCAGCACGCACAGGGTGCAGGAGCCTGTCTGCACGAATGCCATCCCCTCCTAGCGACCAGGGATGGTGCTCCCCCTCCCCCACCTCTCCTTCCACTGCTGGTGGCACAGAAACAGGATAGGATGGAGACAAAGATGTTTTTTAAATTCTTGACACTCAGAGTCTTAGCAAATACAGGCAGCAATGTTCTCTTCTTACCACTGATACCTCCAGACTCCCTCCCTCGTACCTCTGTGACCTGTCATGTTTACACAGACTGGTTCCACAAAACACTTTTTAAATGTGCATTTCTTTAATTTTTAAAAATATACACAGGAGAAGCCATGTGTTTTACATAGGAATACACACATTAACAAAGCATTTGTTATAGTTTTCCAAAAACTCTATTATATCAGTCTGAAATTTATAAATTAGGTATATCAGAACTTTTTAAGTCAAAATGAAGTCCCTGAAAACTACTTGATACGGTGGACTTTGTCCAAAATCAAATGAACAGAGAATATGAATATGGTTTGTGTTAAATAAGGTTTATTGTTAGCTTTATTGCCTATAGTCTATAAGATGCAACTTTATTGTGCCTTTGCAAACAGGATACATTTCTTAAAAAACTGATCAAAATTTTCCATACATATAGCTCTATATGATAGATTACAGTGCAACACTATTCTTGTTACATAATTATAGAAATACTATAGAACCCAAGAGCACAGCGTAAGCAAAAGAAATACAATCCTGAGCCATCTGAACAAGATGATTTGATGAATCCTTTTAGTGTAAGTTTAGAAAACACGGACGAGGGGAAAAAAAATACATGCACGCTGCAGTCGTGAGCAAAATACACTAAATGCCTGTTCCTTGCTGGACACAGGTGGTGTGGGGGAACGGTGAGTCTTGGACACATGCATGCTCACTCACACGCCCGTTTTCTTCTGCTTCCTCCCATCCCCCCTACATTCACTCCCACCCCTTCCCAAAAGAAAAGATCAGGCACTAAATCCTAGTGAACCCCACATCTGCCTTGCTGGAGAACGTGAAGTGACTGCTGAAGTAAGAGTGTTAAGTCCTCGCCCACAACATGAAACAAAGCATGTGCTGTAAGCCCATTCCAGCTGCTGCTGCCTCTTTGGAAGTAAACGAAGCATATGCTCACTACAGCTTAGCACTGTAGAGGGAAACGTCTTGAAAACAAATCTTTGTTTTCTCTCCCTATCTCTTGAAGTAAAATCAACAGCGGAAAATTCACCCTAAAACTAATCGCCTCATCTGCTATTAAAATACATTTGTCATTCTATTTTTGGTATCTATTCAATTATAGCTCAGTAAGAACAGTTCATGCAGTTTGTACCTGCTTATGGTAAACACTATTGTACCACCATAAAGCCCACCCCAGCCAGACAGGCGTATGGAGCCCCAGGCCTTCCAAGTATGCGTTCCTTGCCAACATTCCCTCAAGACCACAGCATTCTAGTGTTACCAAGGATAATGTACGTAGAGTTAAGTAATGAAAGGTATTTGGTTTGCGTCTTCACCTTACATATCCTAGTGACGAAATTAACCAAACCATGCCTTCCCTGAAAATAACCTGAGTCTGCTGACTAAGCAAACTGACCAGCTTGACCGTCAGTCCGCTAATCAGAAGTTGAGCTGGAAAACCAGAGGGCTAATGTCTACCAGCAGCTTGTCTTGTGCGAATAACCAAGAGTCCTTGGTTTCTGCAGTATCTGTTGTCCCAAAGGCTGAACCACTGAGGTGGAAATAACTCACAGCATAAAGAATACTGAACGAAACTACAGGCCTGTGGGACTACCTGGAGAGAAAAAGGATCCTCATTCCCCACATAATTTGGTGTGGGGTTTAGTGTCTCTGTATACATCAGCTGCTACAGAAAAATCAAAAGATTAACTTCATACCTTTCTTATTTTCAATTAAATGCTCATACACTCATAAAATACTCACACACCCTATGAATATGAGGTGGCTCTTCTCTTCAACATTTTTTAAAATCAAGAGGCACCAATACCCGTTCATTTATGTATTAGAAGTCTCACATAATCACCACCAAAACAACAGAAATGGTATTTGTGATGATCACACGAAGGAGAAAAAAGATCAAAAGACAAACTTAGCCACTGTCCTTCAGGTTGTACTTGAAAGCACAGGCGCTCTGGCTAAATCAGAATGTAAGGTTCTAATAAGGTATTATTGGTTTAGCATAGTCACATGGCCTTCGTCCACGACTGATAAATGGAATGGTTCCTAAGGAAGCTGAGGAAACCACTCTGAAACTCTGTTTGCAATGTGTATTATTATAATGAGTCTGACTCTAAAAAAACCTTGGCTCTATCATGACCTTTTGCAAACGGAGGCAGGGCATGACAAGGAGCACCCTCCCGCACCGCGGACACACACAGCCTCAGCGACAAGGTCCTGACACCACTCCTGAAGGTGTTTCTAGAGCAGAAAGGACATGTTGTATTTCGGCATCTTTGGTTAAGGTCTGGCCTATTCAAACCCACCTTTCCTTCACATTTTCCCACCAATGTTTTAAGTCCATGCATTCAGCTAAAGGTCACAAGACATAATTTTCATGTTAAGTTGTCAAATCAAGAGTTTCAAATTTCCGGCCCTATCCTGCCGAGTAGACTACAAGGACCTTACATAAGAAACTCTAAAATCAAACGCTTCAGTTAAAAGCATGCTCTTTTTAAAGTTTCAGGAGCTGCACAGAAAACCGTCAATAGGATTCCCAATACTGGGAGACGGACAAAGCAGAGTTCTGGCTTTTGTCCTTCAAAGTGGCCTGAGCCGACCATGTGAAGTGTCTGGCCCCCAAAATATTTACCACCAGCCTCTTGTGTGACATCTATGTTGTACAAATCTTACGTGAAGCCTAAATGTTTCATAAGTGTTAGAGGTGGAAAGGTGAGAATAAGTTGTGAGTAAAGCTAAATCTGGCCTAGTGAGAAAAAAAGTAGTTAAAAAAAAAAAAAAGGTACTCTGGATTGTAACTCAAAGGGAAATATAGGTCATAAACCAGGTTTACATCCTCAGCCAGAGTTGCCTGAATTCTCTACCTTCTCTTACAGAGTCCAAGGAGCTTCTCTCTGCTCTCTGCCTACACTGCTTTAATGGAGAGAGCAGGTTTAGGGAGGGTTCCAACAGGAAAGCCGAAACACAGAGCTAGAGTCCTGGTGGGGCCAACAAGACAGAGGTCAGACAGAGCAACACTCTGAGCAGGCCAGCCGCCATTCCCGGCCAACCAACCCCGCACACGGTAGCACTCGGAGGGAGTCTGACCACACAGAGCAGTCAAGCAGGGCTTCCTGCAGCACCCCTTTCCTTTGAGACAAATCCCTGTTCTCCCAGATAAACATTTCAGGACAAACCATGCAGGCTGGTGTATGACTGCACATGCTGACACTTTCGAGGGAACTCAGCACCAAACCTGTTTTCTCCCTCCCTGCAAAAGAAATCAATCTGCAGTTTAAAATGCAAAGTGTCACGGTCCTCTTTCCTTCTGCATTTTCTTCTTTCTTTGTTTTCTCATCAAAGTTTTCCTACAGTGATGTTCAGTTCCAAGTCAGATGAAATAAAGTTGCAAAATATTTGGTGATTTTCATATAACGTTCTTCTCATAACGAAGTGACTTAACTGGTGTAAGTCAGAAGTCCTTTCCATGTAGTTCGTTCATCATACAGAGAAAGACTCTTACACGTGGCTATTTCTGGACAGTGCATTAAATGAAGATACCTCACAAGAGAAAAGATCATCATCTGTATCCGTTAGAGTAATATACAGATTCACAGCCAATGAGATGATACACTTTGCAGAAGAGAGGCATTGAACAGTATACTATTCAAATACAAAAACAGCAATAAACATATTCTGCACTACAGAAAATATGCTAACTTCTAACTTTAAGGATTTAAAGTAATGAGTCTGGTAACTGGATTTTAGGACTGGAACATGCTTCTTCCCTTCCAGATACACAATGTTTGATGCTGGTGCACATATATACACACACAAACAACACTGTGTCTGCGATGATATACAAATGAAACAGACAGCCAAGTCCTGAAGGCAGATTTCAGAGAATAGGGCTACCAAGACCAAGAGAGTAAATATTAACTTAAGAACACCTCTAACTTCAGAATTTCATTTTATTGAACACACTTTTAAAACAAGCACCTCTTGGCAATAAAAGCAAAGAAACAATAGTACTCCTTCCACTCTGTTCTAGTGGAAGACTTCTCACACCAACCTGCTAAATTCACGATGGAATTTGAAACAGGCAGCCCGCTGGGGCTACAAGCAGAGCTCAAATGCAGGTCTGCTGACTTCTCGGTGAGAGCTGGAGCAGAGGAAAACATCAAAAAGCAAATTGGGAATCTATCACAGCTTTCTTCCTTAAGCAAAAAAAATGCAAATTAGTTTTATAACCACAATTCAGTTTTTCAAACTTTTTCTGAAGAATTTTCATTTAATTATGTATACATAACAGGAAGTAAAACTTTTTCACAAACATTCTCAAACCTTACAATTATCAAGAAATGACAAAAGTAAAAGCTGGAGAAATATTAAACACATGGCAGGGAGGTTGATTTCTGTTTCTGCTCTTAAAAAGTAAAAAAATCACAATATAATTAAGTACAAAAACCTGCATTGAATGACAACTGCTGGTGTATTTACTTGATCAAAAATGAAGACCAAGAATATAATAAAGCCCTATGATAATATTCATCTGGAGCACTCCCCTCAGTGTGTGTACACTAAAATGTTGGCAAAGTTTCTGGAGCATTAGCTTATATAAACACGGGAGTCCTCAGTTAGCTGCATTAAATGGAACGTTCTCTTCTGAAATGCGCCACAATTCAGTTTCACTTACAAATTGCAAATTAAAGTTATTTCTTCAGAAAAATATCTGTTTGGCATCTCCTGGACTCTGTTCCATCGGACAATATGGACATTTTAATCTAAAGACAAGAAAGAAAATACTGAGTCAAGGAACAGGATCAGTACTGAGCATTCAATTTTCATCTATAGAATATCTCTAACAATTACTTAAACACACACACACAGATCTGTATTTTGTTTTGAGGGTTAACTATGTTTTCCCCTAATATAACAGCCAAACTCTGAAGGGTCACAAATAAACTCCAATCAAGCCAGACACTAAACTGAAGGCTCCTCTTTTGTAGAAATTAGTGAAAACTGTTTTGTAAACAAGACAAAGACAATGGTCTTGAAAACTGCTTTTGTGGTTTTAAAAGTCAATCCAATTCTTCCCCTCCAAAGTTCAGTTTTTTCCTGTCTTTACAGGAATTTCAAATGTACTGGTGACACAAAGCAGTCAAGTGCAACAAATGTGACCCAAGTTGTGGCGTCAACAAGGCACGGGGCCTGTGGAGGGCGTGTACAGAGTGGCATACTCCAGGCCCATCCGGCTGCACCAGCAGGGCTGCTACACGGTCTGGGAAGGGCACAGGGAGCTTCGTTACATGCCAGGACCTTCTTTCAAAAAAAAAAGACCTTACCATACCAGGTCTGAAATGAACTCCAATGAAAAAACGTTCAAACTACCTAAGCTAGAAATAGGCTTTTGAGACTTTTTATTTTTTTTAATAAGGTGTGCCCATTATGGGTACAAAACTTATAAATGTATATACTCTTCGAATTAGCAATTCCAATTCTACAGTTTACATATCACATGTAGATAAAATATTTCACTTTATAACAACAGAAGTTAAAGGTTCATTGATAAGGAATTATCACATTCCCATACAGTAGACTACTCTGCAGGTTTAAAAAAGAATGGGGGCTCTCTCTGTAGCATGTAAAAGACCTCCAAGATATACCATCAAGTAGAAAAAGCAAAGTTCAGACCCATATATAGTGTGTTACATTTCGTGTAAAGGCAGGGGGAACAATGACAATGTACTGCCTACCCCAAAAGTTAAGATTAAAAAACATGCTTGTAAATCTAATCATCAAATTTATGAACAAGTAAAAAGACTGACAAAAAAAAAAATCAGATACAACCCTCCCACTAAGTTCCAGAAGAAAAATGTTTTAAACCAACATTTAAAAAGTCAGACACTTACTTGCTACCATTAAACATTTTATTCAGGGCATCTCTTGATATAATATGACCACAGACCAATTTCATGGGTGGATTGTTATCTGTTGTTTGCTGACGAAGAATGGGACAGGCAAATATAGAGTGATACCAGCACTTTTTACCAAGGTCCACTTCAATCTTAAAAACAGTAAAAAGCCTCAAGTTATATTTCAGAAAACATGTTAATATGCACTGGGCAGCAAAAACATCGGTCTACTCATCTGAATTTAACTTTTTAAGCACACTTACCTCAAAGAAGGGTAGTCTTAGGGATCCAAGTCTTAGGGATCCATTTACTTCATAATCTTAATTAACCTTCAAAATTATATATAACACTACTTTTCAAACCAAATGCTCATGTTTGAGGAGTCAAAGGGAAGACAATGCTCTAGAAGTCAAACACTCTTGAAAACGTGTCAGGATATACCCTAAGAGCAAAACCCACCAGAAACCCTGTTTTGTAGCACACTTAGCTAGGTGATAAAAATTCAGTGTAATAGTAATTCCTTTAAAGGCAGACTAGACAAGGTTTACTTTTGTGTAAACTTTCAGACCTGAGTTTCTAATGTTTTGTGTTTAATGGTCCAGAGAAACCAGCTGAAATAAGAACTTGAAGCTCAAGTTTAGGAAGACCTTTCACAATCTGTCCTTCAGAGCCATGGCAGGTGTATCAATTATTACCCTTCACAGTGAACAAAACAAACAAAAGCTCTATTAATGTCAGTTCTTTGTTTCCTTTCCTTCTAAAATGGTTGTATCAATATAAAGTCTATTACCCAGACTCTTTCAAGAAAGCTGACAAAGTGTAACAGAATAATCCTGAGAAAAAATGGCCAGATCATCACCTCCCATTGCCTTACTACCCTGACACAGGCTTTATAAGCGAATTCAGATTTTAGCATGCTCCATGCCAGTGCCAAATGTCAGAGATGCCCGTAATGTAGCTGCGAAACTGCCAGACTTGCAGGCACCTGCTTCAGCAAAGCAAGTGAAGGCTCAAGTTCTTTTCACTTGTTCAAATGAGCAGCCATGAAGCAGGGGTGCTGCCAGTATCCTGCCCACACCCAGCACTGGGAATGCACCTGTGTCTTCAATCAAACCAGATCTTCAACGAGAAGCTGGGGCAACCAAATGACAGTTACCAGCTAGAAGGTAACTGCAGATAAACCTGTGCACAGGTGTGGCAGAAAAGAAGCAAAAAACCCAATGCACATATAGCCTATTAGGATCTCTGACATAACCACGACAGGCATGAGAATTCTAGGCAGAGTTTCAGTGCCTTCTGTCAGAGGTCTGGTGGAAACTCACATGCAGTGACCTTTGTCACTCCGTGTCATGACTACTACGGCAGCAAAACTGGAGTACCTACTATGTGTCCCATGTTATCCTAAGCATATCAATGTTATTTCTAGTCTTTAATAGTCCCATAAAGAGAAGGATGGTCCCCATTTTAAAGATGGACCAACTACTGTTTAGAGAAGTAGTAGAGTTGGCAACTGATCCGAGCTGATGTTTAATCATGGTCTGTTCCATGAGCAGCAGTGGACACACAGCACAGGAAGGCCAATAACGACTGCAGGTGTCCCACGGATAACCTTTAACAGTTATGTGCTATTTTAATAAGTACAAATCCATAATCTCACAAATATCAATGCCTAAGACAAAACTGAATTTAATCAACTGACTTCACTGCTTTTATATTTTAAGAGAAGCCCAGTGTGAGTGGTCTGTCCACTACACTGGAGAACACATTTGCAAGCTACAGTGTACACCCCCCACACACCCGGGAGGTCTTCCTTCATGGGCGTGCACTGCCACTCTAAGTCAACATTTTATTATTATTTTCCCAAGTCAGAATAAAAAAAAATGCAAACTCAGTGCTTCCAAAATGTACTGGCTTCCCATTTGTATTGTTTAATCATGTCTACACGTAAAGGAATCCTGGCTGACCAGCTACAATGCTGCTCTCTGGTTAAAAGGCAAAACAAGCATTTTAAACCCTTACTTAACATCCAAGTCCTTCTAATGGCAGGAGAAAATAAACAATCGATAGGAAGTGTAACTCACGGGCAATTCATCTTTCTGGTTCCAAACTCCAGTGCACTGCCTCTGTTCAATCACAGCTTTGATATTAATTAAAGCCGGCAGCGCCACACAACCTGCTGAGAAACTGGGAGAGCAGAAGAGGACGTGTCAGTGCCAGGCTAGGTAGCAGACACCCTGGTCCCAGGAAATGTCAGTCCCTCCAGACTCCATGTGCCGAGGGCCCTGGCCATTAGACAGGGCACAGGGCCCTCTGCTTTGCTGAATTAGCACCCAAAAAAAAGCTTTACATTTTACAAAACCACCAGATTCAACAGGCTCTGCTTATCAGTCATGAATGACTTTCTGACACTGTTTTTCCACACAGACTAGGATAGCCCTGTCCAGGGCAGAAGTGCTTATTTCTCAGATCTGGAAGCACTGGCAGCCAACTCTCAGCTGAGCCCCTCTTCAGGACCGTCGTCACTTGAAGCAAGCCACCTGACCAGGGTCACATGTGATGACTGCTCTGCGTGAGAACACACAAGCCCAGCTCTGTTGCCCCAACTGGGGATAATTCCACAGGCCACCATAGCTCCAGAGCTCTCCAGGGAGGGGGCATCACAGTTCAACTTACCCTCTGCCCAATCCTGCTGCTTTTATTTCCCCACCGGGGCCGATCCTAAACCCCTGCACGTCAGTCTCCACCACGTCACAATATGTTCCCCCTGGGACCTGGCCTGCGGCTGGTCACACAGTGTAATTAACTGCCTCAGTGTCCCCTGTGCTCAGGTGGAACAGCCTGTGGGACGCAGACTGCACCTTACCCATCTCTGGAGCCCACAAAATACTTGGTACATAGCAGGGATTTGAAAACACTTGAGGAATTAAATAAATAGGAGAGAGCTAAAGAAGTTATTTTCTTAAAACAGGCTCATAAACTTCATGGCTTCAGGACCTACTTACATGCTTAGATATTAAGAATCTTCAAAAGACACTTGTTTCTGTGGGTTATAGCTACCATTATTATATTAGGAATTATAATCAAGAAATTTTCAAAAATATCAACTCATTTAAAATAATAAATATGTTACATTTTAAGTAACATTCTTACCCCCCCAAAACTTCTATATTTTCCAAACCAAAAATAAATTGGTGAGAAGACTGGCACTGCTTTACATTTTTAACAAATCTCTTTAATGCCTAGCTTGATAGAAGACAGATGGATTCCTATCTCTTCTGCAATCTGCTGCAGTGTGCTCTTTCGATTGAAGTAAACGGGAAAGGAAAATCTAGCTTTAAACAGATATATGGTAATTTAATTGCCTTTCAGATAATTGTGATATTTCCCCTTTAATGCCACACCAAAACTCAACAAGGAAAGTTTCTTAAGGTTAGTTGCAAAGTGGAATCTGAATCCTTATCATCGAATCTTTCTGTACCTTGCCACATAAAACTCCAGTTGGCTGTCTCATACTGTGAATGAATCTTGTACTCATGCGTGACTTTGTAAGATCTCAGTGAATTAAGATCTTCTAAGTGTTAACACATTTCATTATACAATATCCAAAAACTCAAATTCATAATATCACCAATTTCATCAACAAAGTATTGGGAAGCTGTCAAGCCCACAGTGGCAGGTACAAGTTTCCCAGAATTTCTTTTGTAGCTTAAACTCATGAATTTAAAAGATACAAAAAGACTGTTGCTTTCCTTGACATGATTCTCTTCCTACATGTGGAAAAATATCTGCCCAAAACCCAAATGTAATTAACCCTAGTTTATCTTTTAGTGATTCTTTCAAGTAAGAACTTTTTCATTAAAAAAAAAAAAAAAGGCAAAACTAGTTTATTGGCTCATAAAACTAAAAAAACATACCAGTGTTTTCTTTTTTTTAAAGATTTTTTTTTTTTTTAAGATTTTATTTATTCACTTGATAGAAAGAGATCACAAGTAGGCAGAGAGGCAGGCGGGGGGCAGACAGGGAAGCAGGCTCCCTGCTGAGCAGAGAGCCCTATGCGGGGCTCGATCCCAAGTCTTTAACCCACTGAGCCACCCAGGCGCCCCACATACAGGTGTTTTCTAAGACAAGCATGATACTTTGGCTTGAAGGGCTTTATGAGAACTCCCCACTTTGTAACACAGACTATAATAAATAAATAAAATCTTAAAAAAAAAAAGATGTGTACTTAAAGGTCAGGATGTAATAAAACCAATCATTTTTAAAGAACAGTGTTGAGTAAAGCTAGTGTGTCTTCAACTGCAAGTGTGTGGCAGAGTACAATGTATGAGGAATACAGCGGGTCCTTCCGGACTTTGGGACCACTGCACTGATCTGGCTAAGGCGCAAGCAGTTCAAACTACTATTATTCCTGCATCATCTTTGCAAATGTCAACACAGTGGAAAAGGATCTCGGGGACAACCAGAGGTTCATGGATCACACTGCTCTGAAACTGTTTCCCTGCCAACTGTGATGATCTCTTGAAATATCAACTGTACTCTTCCTCAGAAAGACAAATGTTCTCTTCAGGTTTAACATCAAGAACTAGACAAGAAATTAAGGAAAACCAACACAAAGCAATGCGTATTCCAAGAGCACGACCAATCTGCATACCTGACGCTGAGCGGGGACTCCACCGAGAGCCCCAGGAGGGCGCAGGCATCCCGTGTGAAGATGTCACAGATGTCAGCCCACTGGTTTGCATCAAGTAGATGAACATACGGTGAGTTCTCAATCCCTTGTCTCAGGTACACAAGGCTTCCCATCAAAACCTGAATGTCTACGCAAAAACAGCAGCAATTTTAAGTGCGAATGATCACACCTGAAACGGGGGCTGGCTTGGGGGGTAGGAGGCTGAGAAAGGCAAAATTCCGCTAACTGACAGAGCCTAAATCATTAATGATGTCTTTTTAAAATTCTCGTCCTTAAGCTGGGTTTCTCCCTTCAACGAGAGAAAGGGGAAGAAAACAAAGCACTAAATATGAACCTCAAGTTACTTTATTGTTTTTTTCTTTTTTTTAAGATTTTATTTATTTACTTGACAAAGAGTGAGAAAGCACAAGCAGGCAGAGCAGCAGAGAGAAAGGGAGAAGCAGGCTCCCCACTGAGCAGGGAGCCCGTTGTGGAGCTCAGTCCCAGGACCCTGGGATCATAACCCAAGCTGAAGGCAGTCGCTTAACCAACCGAGCCACCCAGGCGCCCCTCAAGTTACTTTATTCTTATACAGAGCACAGTATAACTACCATTGTCTAGAGCAGTAAAATTGATGTCATAAAGGAGGCCACACTGATCTCTGGCCATAGAACTGGTCAGAAGACCAGTATTCCCACACTGGTGCTCAGTGTCACTGGTGCCATCCTGGTGCACCCTCAGACACTTTGTGGGGCAGTAACAGCAGCATGGGGGGTAACCCTGATCTTTCTCATATCTTTTACATATGGAATCCCAAAAATGCAATGTCTCTTTTATCCAAGAGGCATCAATGTTTTACTTTTTTTTTGTTCTAGGTCCCATCAGACCTTTTTCCAAAGTGATTATCATCTACAATTGTTTCAGTTCATTAGCAAATACGTATCACATCTCCTTAAGATAAACTAAATCCCAGTAGTGGCTATAGGTCTGTTCCAAATATCAAAAACATTCAGGGTCCCTGGGTGGCTCAGTCTGACTCGATTTCAGCTCAGGTCTTGATCTCAGGGTTGTGAGTTCAGGCCCTGGGTTGGGCTCTACGTCCAAACAAACACAAAAACAAATATCAAAAACATCTGACTGCAGACTCACCTTTCTGATGATTTAGGGCAAATGGCTGAAAATTTTTAGCATATTGTAATGCTTCTCGCTGATTTGTAGTTCCACCCATTAATAAGCTAATAAAATACAGTCTGTGTAGTTTAAATTCCAAGGAGCTGTTTTGGGCTATAAGCATTTCTCGGTTTGAAACTGCCCATCTAAAGAAAAAGCAGAAAAGATTTTAATGCAATTAAGAGCATAGGCAAGTGTTAAAAATTCTTTGAAACCTAGCAATACAATAAAAGAGTTTGGTGTGCCATCTTGTGGAAATCAGTGGTAATTATCAACCCCCGGCCCAGAGACTTGTAAAGAAAATAAACAGAAGTACACCCAAAGAGGCACTTCAGCCAGTAAAATCAAGAAAAAAATATTAAGTCAGATGACAGTTACATATTTAGTAAGGTTTTACACGAAGACAAAACTGACTCTGATGAGTCACATGGTATTTCTGGCACTATACAAGGGCACACTTTGAAGCAGGTGTTAGCCATGAGATTCACTACCTACTCAATTGCCCATATCCACTATTTTCCTGTTAAACTTGGCATAGTTATAAATGGATCACAAGACTCTGAATGGGAACCATCTATTTTTAGACTCTTGTTGGGTGCAACATTTTGTGCTACACTTTGAGATTAAAAACAGCAAACACTGGTATTTGCCTCAAGGTGCTTTCAGCCCAGATTTTTGCTTTCAGGCACATAAAACTACATATATATGTGCCAAAATGATTTGTACCAACAGTGCTAATGAGGGAAAGAACAATGTTCCATTCTGAATGATCTACAGTACAGGAACTCGGGCATCTATAGTACAAACAGCTGGGATAACCAATCTTGAGCTGGGACTACCACTCCAGGTGGGCGCTAGAGCAGAAATGTACCCCAGGCCAGCTGTTAAAATCAACTTTGTAACCAAGTGGTAAGGAAGCATTACTTTATTTCTGTAAACATACTAAGATGTAGAAGCTCTTATTATCATATTCTCCTTTAATCTGACCTTTAGTTGGACAAACAGTCCCACCTAACCCATTTCACCAAGGACCATTAGAACCTGTCTTGGTATGAATATAAACCTGGAGTAGCTTTCTACAAATGACGAAAGTAAAATGTCTCAGGTTATTCATAATGGATCAGCCAGCTGGGATTGGACCTCACAGAGCTGTACTTTTACAGGATCCTAGCCTAACGGTTGCACATACAACATGAATATTCTGATCAACTTGTGGATGTATCCACATCTTAGAGTCCAATCATGAAGCTTTTCCGACCTAAAAAAGTGATTGTTAAAAATATTCATCACCTGGACTTTGGAAATATTTATTTAAATGTACGTAAGCCTTGAATCGTTGCCTGGCACTAACACAAACACAGTCAAGCTGGAACACCAACTCTGGGGTAAATCTTGCCGACACCAACAAGGTACTTTTGGCAGCAACCTTTCATGAATGCCAAACACCAACCATTAGTACCAAAAGTACTGTGCTAGTTTGTCAGGCAACTTCTTGACTTCCAGTTCCAAGGAGTATGTATGTATTTATTTATTTATTTAATTTTGGTCTTATTTATTTATTTATTTATTCTTAATTAATTAATTAATTTTTAATTTAATTCCAGTACAGTTAACATACAGTGTTATATTAGTTTCATGTGTACAATGTAATGATTCAGCAATCCCACATCACCTGGTGCTCATCTTGACAAGAGCCCTCCTCAATCCCCATCACTTAGTTCACCCACCCCCCTATGGTAACCATCAGTTCTCTCTCTATAGTTAAGAGTCTGTTTTCGGTTTGTCTCTTTCTCCTCTGCCTGTATTCTTAAATTCCATGAGTGAAAACACATGATATTTGTGTTTCTCTGACTTACTTAAAGCATTATACCCTCTAGCTCCATCCATGCCATCACACATGGCAAGATTTCATTCATTCTTTTTATGGCTGAATAATATTCCATTACGAATATATACCACATCTTCTTTATCCATTCATCTATCAACAGACACTTGGAGCAAGAAGTACATTTAAACCAGGTTACTTACCAAAAGTTCATCCTGCTCCCTCTCATTCATAAAAGCATGAGTATGTTTTCCTACTAACAAGTAAGGAGAGGCAGCAAGCTTTTTCTTTATTCTGTTTTTGATATGAAATACATGTGTAAGATAGAGCAAAAGAGGGAGCTTATAGAGTTACTACAAATTTTAATAAACAGTGAAAGCTAGCAAAGAAAGGGCAAAGTCCTTAAGTGGGCAATTCACAGAGGAAGAAAATCTATTTCACCTTTCCTAGACAGATTTTCAGGATATGATATTACAGGGGGGGAAAGTTAAGATATACAGAAAAAATTAACTTCAAGTTGCCAGAATTTTTAACAGTAATGACTCCAGAGAAGTTGGATTGCACACATTGTTTACCAACTGCTATGGCATGGACTACTACAACCCAAGAGGGCACCAACTATCAGAGCAGCACCAGGAGGCTGGAAACAACAGGAGGGCACACTGCTGAGTAATAGCTAACAGCCGTCCAGAGGACAGTGACTTAACATACAGTCTATGCTGTCCATTGTTTTCTAAATTTTCTACAATGAACATATATTACTTTTATAATTAAGAAGGTAATGATTTTTAAGCAAATGCAAAAGTAAACAAAAGTTCTTCCTTTTTTCATCAGAGCTTACTGAGTAATTGCAAATTACATTTCCCAAAAGTAATTCAAGCCAAGAATTATGAATTTAAGCTCTGCAAACTCTAACCATATGTAACCCCTTTAACTTGCAGAGGCATTTACTTAGACAATGCAGTTCCTAATTCATCACTTATTTTTACCCACCTTCAAATTTAGCTATAAACAAGGCTACAAAATAATCGGAAAAAACTAACACGGCTAGTTCCTGACCTCCACCCCCACCATGAGAATTTTAGGAAAGTAAACAGATATCTCACCACAAAAAGGAGCTGGAGGAGTATGGGGAGACTGCAAAACCCAAATTCAAGAATATAAGTTACCATGTGTTTCTTAAATCATATTTCTTGACTTTCTATCCTTAAACAACGTATTATCTTCATTTAACTGCTGAATATTACACTAAGCCTAAATCTCACAAAGCAAGGGATTAGATTAACAATTTCTAAGCTTCTCCCTTTCTGGAAAAGTGTCATCTTCTAAACTAAGGATCTCTGCCCCCCAAACATGTAAGCACATGTAAGTAAGGACTAAGAGAAAAACCTGGTGTTATGGCACCTCTCCCTCATACTCCAAGACTGTACCCCCAGGTACCCACAACTGTATTTTTCTGATCCCAATTCGTTGGCCACAGCCAACTGGCCAGGTAAACATGGATTTTAAAGTCACACTCTTGGGGCACCTGGGTGGCTCAATGGGTTAAGCCTCTGCCTTCGGCTCACGTCATGATCTCAGGGTCCTGGGATCGAGCCCTGCATCGAGCTCTCTGCTCAGCGGGGAGCCTGTTTCCTCCTCTCTCTCTCTGCCTGCCTCTCTGCCTACTTGTGATCTCTGTCAAATAAATAATAAAAAAAAAATAACTGTCGCCTATAAGCAAGTTCATCAATCCCTTATATCCTTTCTGATCACTTCATAATCCTGTATCTTTTGTTCTTTCAGTTCTTAATGGTTGCCTTCCTTGACAATCATAACACCTGCCTTAACTGATCTTTGGAATCTGGGTACAAACTTCACAGCAGCATTTTTATTCACACTAGCAGCCTCCCCAGGGAGCTAAACATTAGTCAATTCGTGATGACTTCTGAAATGATGAAACCATCTTTGGCAGTAAAGTTCTTCACTCTCCTTGTAATCACTGTTTTCTTTCAAGGAGGCAACTAACTTCAACACAATCTGAATGTTAGCCAAACTGATGGAGGCTTTTTTTTTCCTTAAATAATCTTCAATCCGAACTAGTAGTAAATGTTCTGTTTAAATCACAGGCAGCTTTCTGTTCCTTGTGCAATTTAAATTAAAAGATGTCAAAGTGCCTCTATCTTGGTTTTTATATTCATTGGGCTTTTTCAACATGGCTTATATCATAACTTCATGTAGGCCTACGTCTCATCCTAGTTTCACCCGGCCACTGTCATTTTCCAAATCTTTCTAATCACATTCAATTTCACTTCTAACAATTCATCTTTGTTGACCAAACTCCTCTTTCAACTATCCATTTCTATAATATATTGTGGGTTCACCTCTCGGAGATGAACAGGCAAGACAACTACACACTTGTCTGAGGTTAACAGGTGCTCAGTGACCAATCATGGACAGACCTGGAAAAAAGTGATGTGGTTGGCTGAGAGCGTGATGCACATCTGTTATTTAGGCAGTGACCTGTGGACCCCAAAGCTGGGAGGACACTTTGTAGTTTATGCAATTACTTACAGTTAATATACTGTGGTAACTGAAATCTGAACCTTTTTGTTGGGGGGAACTGGTATTATTTACCTCAAATGTGGTAAATGAAATCCAGGCATACTGAAATTGTACAGAGACGAAAATCCATAAGCTCAAGAGAGAAGACAGAGGGGGAGAAAGAACATTTCACAGGGAGAAGGTTACTCTCTAGACACCAGGAAGGCCCAGAGCAGCACAACAGAGACAGATGCAATGACTGAGGAACTGAGCAAGTCCATGTGTCCATGGCACCACTCTTAAAGAATCAGAAAGAAAACCAGATTAGTTTTCTTTTTCTCACCAAGATCCCTGTCCCTCCACTTTTCTTTCTGAGAGGAGGAGAGCTCGGATGGAAAACCAAGAGGTTTATGCCAAGAGGGGAAGTTATGCAACAAAAGGGTGGGTGTCGAGGGAGAAAGCAATGGTTGGCCAACAGGATGATCTAGAGGCGTTTGTCATGTGGTGTGAAGAATTAGAGGAGGAAAATAGCCATGCTGAGAATAGAACGGAGATAGAGGCGCTGGCCAAGAAAAACACACACAACACATACAGATAACCTGATCGAGCAACTTTCATAACCACTGAGTGACATGTCCAGGTGAATTAAAGCTAGTCTAGATAGAAGACCTGTTTGCTTTATGATATTAGAAGCCATGATTCTACCTCCCAGTGTAAGTGCTGGTTAATTTTTACAAAAGCAAAATCAGACAGAAAGTGAGCAGCTGAGAATAGAGTTGAAAATTTCAAGGTCCAGGC